TGATCTCGACGTCTTCGTGGTCTCAGACCCAAAGAGCCTGGTCTTGGCTGAGCTTTCCGGTTCCAGCGAGCTGGTCTTTGCTCGCCACTCGCTCTGGGTTACCCAGAAAAACGGCCAGAGAGAAAAGAAGGGCAACAAACACCCGTTTGGGTTCCATGTGAATTTGTAGGATTTTGGTAGGGGAGCATGCTGGATGTGTAGAGTCCAGACCCCAAGCCTCCAGCGAGCTGCTAAACCAGTCGTGTTTCGTCGGGCTCCTCTTGCTGCCTCGGCTACCTCAAAGCCCATAGTGTGATATCAATGGGGTAGCTGTGGGTTTCTGGATGTCCAAATGGTCAATACTATTTCATATCCAGTGCTTTTGCTGGGGCTGACAACTTAAAAAGCTTTGCGCTGGAGGCCATCTCTTGAGCGAATCCATCAGTCCCGCCGTCGTCATTGCACGTGGCAGTGCCACAGCTGCCTCCCTGCTCCTGGGCTACGCGGCCTGGCTGAGGGAGAACCCCTACCTCTTGGACCATCAGGCGCGGGCATCAGATTCAAATGGTGCGTGTGCTACCCCTAAGCCAGATGCGCGTGAAGACCAAATGCTGCTTTCTGAAGTCACTATGAAAGGCAACCTTTCCTCGAAGCGGTAAGCGCGTATCCTGCCTTCGCCCAGGGCTGGGACCAGTATGTCACCAACAACGACGGCGACTTCGCTGGACTTTTTGACTACAAGGGTCGCAATACAACCGCGCAAGATGTGGATGGGCCAAGCCACACCTTCCTGACGCCGAGAGGCTTAGCGCCGGATGCCAGATGGAAGTTCCTCTCAGGCTTCGCTAGTGGAGATGGGTGGCAGGGCCCAGCAGATGCCGCAGGCATTGCTTTCTTCCACTTCTGGGGCACGACAGAAACCCAGAGAGAGCTTTTCGAGGTGTTCTACCCGAAAGGCGGCCAATCCTTCAGCCAGAAGGCCAGAGAGCTAGTGCTGCGGTACCGGCGCCAGCCGGCATCGGCACCCAAGGTCTCCTCCTTGTCCAAGCCGCTGCACCTGGTCGCCATAAGCTATGCCCATGGCTGCTGCGTGAAGTCGCTGAAGCGGAACAGGGACCGGGCGCTGCAAAATGGGCTCGACGAGGCGCGGTCCTACGGCCAGCAGCACCTGGGCCCCGCCTGGGCAGCTGCCAACTCCAAGGTGCTCTCCCAGAAACGCGGCGGAGGCTGGTGGCTGTGGAAGCCCTATGTGGTGCTGAAGACCTTGAAGGACATCAGGTCAAAGCCTGAAAAAGGCACCAGCCAAATTTGTTGAACATGTCAGCTGCATCCACAAACCCACAAGGTAAGACAAGCCTCATGATGGATCCTCTCCAGCTTTTGTTGCTTTCACTCGATGTTTCTCTTTGCTTGTTCAGGCTCGAGCCGCCATTTATTTCCAGGACCCAGCCGTTCCTTGGGATACGGGAGTGGTGCTTTGGGTGGATGCTGGCAACTACTTGCAGCTCGGATGCGTTGCGTACACACTCCCTTTGCGCCAAACTGTTGCAACAAGGGCTAGACATGTCCTTGTTGGCATGGAGGTGGTGCCCCTGTTTGCCATTCACAGCTGAGGCACGCAGATCCGCGGTCACTGCTGGCTTTTGCCTTGGAGGAGCAAGGGGTTATCACTTTCATTTGCCTCTTCAAGTCATGTTTAGACGCCGCGAAAACAGACCCGATCCTCAAGCCTTATGGAGAAAGGAATCTTTGTTCTGGGCCAGCCCCCCCGGAAATCGGAAAGGCCTCAATTGTGCTCATTTCCCCCGTGCTGGCTATCCCCAAACCATCAGGTCGGAAGAGTCTGTCCAGATGGCAGTGTTGGGAATGTGGCAAATTCTTCGCAGGAGTCAGATGTTGTCGCATTGCGGCTGAAGCAGTGCCTGGAGTCAGATTGGACGAGCAAGCTGACGCTGCAACGGATGCGCCTCGTCTCAACATGTCTCAACCTGGCTCCCTGCAATTCCCAATATGAGATGACCCCATATTCGGAGATGCCAAATGGTTGCAGTGCGTACGGGACATGATGTGAACAGCTTCCGAACCCGGTTGCAAGTCTGCTTCGCCAGAGAGGGCATGCCAACATGAAACTAGGAGGCGGTGGATGGCTGCCATGTTTGTCCGGACTTGACACCTGGCCCAGGAACGTCTCATCCAGGCTGGGGAGGGGATCGTCGGTCACGAACCCACCGCTTTCTGAGCCTTGCTCAGCCACAGAACTGGTGCAACTCGGATTCTCAGGTTCCTCCCAAGCTGAAAAGGCTTTGTGAAGTAAACTGGCTTCTTGAGTGCTAAACCCGTGCCATACAGAGTTGCCTGGCCTTCCCAGGGAAAAATTAGGTGGAAGGCCGGGACCGCAGGCGTTGGGCTCGGACGCGCGGCAGGTACTCTTTGCTTGACCGGCCTCAACTGGGCGCATACTTCCTGGCTTTCCGAAAGACCAAGGCGGCATGTGTTCAGACCTGTGTGGTTTCTTGGCTCTTGGGAAGTCGGTTGCAACACCTTGCTTGGCGCGGCTGGTGTTTTTTCGGTTAGTTGTTGACTAGAAATTCCTGCGAAAACCTGCCTTGGCATTTGAAGTTCAAACTGCTAGTGGCCAACCCGCCTGCAGATTCACTAGAATGTAGCGACCGATTCGCGGCCATGATTCATCTTGAAAGGCCGCGATCGACTTTGTCGAGGAGTGGCTCCGCTTGTCCGAGGAGCGGGCTTGTAGCATTGGAGCCCGTGGGCGCTCACTGCCCGTAGACACTCCGTGTTCGTAATCGGCAACCACATCTCCCTCATCCGTTTCAAAAAAAACGCGGTTCTGGTTTCGGTCACCGCGGCCTCGCTGCTTTTCGGTGTTTCAGGATTCAGACACCTTGCTGGGCCTCGCAGGGCATCATCCAGAAGGCCCCGTGACACTTCTGGTTTGCGGTGGCCGTGCATTTGTTATAAACATATAATGCGGAACATATATCCAACAAACACGAAATGTAGTACGGCGCAAGATGGCACAAGGGAGCGAAGAAAGCTAATATCAAACAGCACCCCATGAACTTTGCAGGATTTGGCCAATTTCGCTTGAGGGAAAGCTGCGCAAGAGTCGTGCAAGAGCATCAATCGTGTCTGTTTGGATCCAACTGGCTCACACATTTGAAGTAGGAATACGCGTTTAAAGACAGCTGCAAACAAATCAACTTGTTGCCCGTCCTTCTGCTTTGCGGCCTGTTCCTTCTTTTTGCCTTCGCCTTTCCGGGTCCTCTTGCCATGTGATCTTCTACAAGTAGCAAAAACACAGAAGTAGCAAAGCCGGGAATCAGAACTGAGCACGAGAAATTTACGGCCCATCACATGGAGTCTCCAAAGAAAGCCTCTAGGTGTCGATGTCTCTGAGGAAGAGGACTGCTCTCTTGATTGCACCATTTGCTGAAGCTCACTGGTGCGAATGTCATTGTCAGGACATCCCGACGTTTATGACCCACCAAGCGGATCAAAGTATCTTCTCGCTTCTGTTTAAGAGAGGCTCGCCTGCATTCTGTAGACTTGGGAGGCGGTTCCTGGGCTGGTCCAGCTCTGGGGCTGGTTCTAGGGCAGGTACTGCGAATCCACATTTTAGGAAAACCAGCGGTCCACCCCTCAGTGTGAGTAGGCTAACAGCAGGAGGGGTCGGCGGATTCGAGATTCTCGGAGGTGCATGAGTCAAAATCAACAGTCCAGCACAGTTGAGTTTTTTAGTGGTGAATGCGGGACATGGAAGAATGCAGTGGTTGATGCTCTTTTTCCAGTCGCAAGTCCATACAGCCCAACAGCCACACGACAAAAAACAACCTGGTGACACTAGGACAAAAAGAACCTGGTGACGCTTAGGTCTTGGGGTTTTCCTAAAGGGGTGTGACTTTGGTACCGGTCAACCCCTTGAGTTGCTCCCACTCGAGACGTGCGTGTTGCGTGCGCTGGCAGAGAGCCCACGCCAAGGCCGTGGCTTTAAGGCGATTCCACTGGAAGTAGGCCACAGGCCACGAGGGACGTTGGGCTTACGCTGCGCAACGCTTGCGCTCAAGCCGTGCGTGTTGAAATTTGTACTCATGCGTATGCATATGTGTTCGTGCACGTTTGAGTTTGGTTGTTTGGTGCGCATGCTTGGGTGATTTTTACAAGCCCAAGCGTGGAGTTAAAAAACAACTGTGGGCATGCCGCCTTGGATATGCACGCTTGCAGGGTCGTCACCCTGGACCGCTGGCGCGAGTGATGGGCTGTGATGGGCTGCGCTCCATTTTCGCATGGATCCTCACTCAAGGTACTTCGGACACGTAAGGACCTGACAGGGTTCAATGCTTTCTCCATCATTTGCAATGATTGAAGATGGGGTCAGATGGCGATGGAGAGACATGAAAAAGTACGACCGCTCCGTGCATGAGCATGCCAGTCTTTTCGGAGGCGTAGACAGGCTGGCCATGTTAAAACTGTTTGTGGAGGAAAGCTGGCCCTTACCAAGCAAGACCAACGCATATTGATCTTTCTTATGCAATGATTGTTGCTGTTCATCTTGCCGACGCGGGCTTTGGGCTTTGTATATACTTGCAGACGGCGTTGGCTGATACTAAATGATACTAACAAGCTATTTGAATTGGCTTGGAAAAGGCAATGCGAAGCTGGACAGGAAGTCTTGTTAGCGCCTTAAAGTTTGAGTTGGGATTGGGGGATGGCAATAGGGATCTCGAGAATGAGATGGGCTTGGGGCGTGCAAACCCAGTCAAGCCGGGTGTTAGACTTGTCAAAGACATTGAGGGTATCACCAAGCGACTACGGACCAAGACAAATCCGGCACTCTATGTTGTCTTTGGCCTCCAACGGCTGCGCAGATCGCCCATAAGGGCTGTTGGCGGTACCTTCCAAGAATGAAAGCTGCCAGTGTCCGAAGATTCGCACGCTACCCCCAAAAACGCATGCCCACTGTTCACCTTGAAGGTTTCCAGGAAGTATCTCACAATGCCGAGGTGGAAGCCTACATCCCATGCACCGTGACTCCGCATTTAGAATCGCAGCTCTGGGCAAGGACCGGGAAGCGAGTCCTTGCGCCCATTTGACAATGGATGAGATCAGAACATGCGGCAGAATTGGGCAAGCAGTGAATTTCCATTGTCAGTCATATGACATGTGGCTTGATGATGCTGATGATGTTTGATGATGCTTGATGTGCGTGGTACTGGCCATGGGATGCCATGGGCGGCTTATGATTTGTACTCGTACATCCATGTGCTTGTGGCTTGAGGAGCCTTATCAGTGGGCAAGGCCCGACATTTACCCCTTTAAGCTGCAAGCAACATTGGATACATGATCATTGCCAATCATCCCTCCCGCACCTCACAAGCCCATCGAAGCGAGCAAGAGATGGCAGTGGCATGCACGTCTTGGGCTGTTGAATCCTTGTGGCTGTGAAGCTTTTGCAAGTAGACACTTTGACGCAGTCGGGAAGATCGTCACTGCAAGACAAAGCGCATTCTGCAGACATGAAGCATGCAGGAAAGCCGCCAAAGCAGCAGGAGCTGACCCTGAGAAGGCGCTGCGGCTGAGGGGCCAACAACGTTTCTGAGTATTGCAGGCCTTCCACTTGACATGGGCGTAAGGCAATTGCATTTGGCAGCTGCAAAGGCACCTCATCTGAGCCAAGGCAAAGCTTTGAAAACAACAGCCTTGGAGAAAGCAAACACCTGGCGCTACTCATGGATGGCCAACGGTATGTTCCATGATGCAGCAATTCAATTTGACCCTGTGCAGTTGTATGCGCACAAAGGCGCACAAATGTTTGCCGGCAGGTTGGCGCGGCAGTTGCAGCAGAGGGCTATGTTGGAGCAGTTGCGGCTGCGCGTGGCGACCTGGGCCCAACAGTTTGCAGCCGGTACACTGCACGCGCTGGTAAACACCTTAGCGTCAAGCGACCGGTCTGTTGGGGTGTTTTCTTGTTTGAAAAGCTGCTGAGTTTGTGTTTGTGGCGTTCCTTCAGTCGGACTCACATTGCAATGATCGTCATTGTCGCCCGTAGTTCACCTTGCAGAGGGTCGTGCCATCAAAGATTTGTAGTGTGTGTGTGTGTGTGTCTGCTGTTGGGAATTTGTGGGGGCTGGGGCCCAGTGCATGAGATCCGCCGATGCGATGCTTTCCCACTTGTCCCATGCTTCCCAGAAGGCAATGCCCACTTTGGATCGGTCTTGACCAGTGCCATTCGGCAGATCGTGCGGAGGAAAGACGGGGAATCAGAAAGATGAGCAATTGCTGGCATCCGAGTGTTTCTCACAGAGCCCTCAAGACTTTGGTTCCCTGCCTAAGCTAGGCGAGAATGCGCCCCATTGAGCCATACCGTCGGCAATGCACGCCTTCGAAGGCGGCATGTGGCAGAGCTGGCATCCCAGCGGCAGGCACACCCGTGCACCTTCTGATCTTTGTGGATCTCGCTCCTGTTCCCAGCGCATCCCACAAAACTCGCAGATGTTTTCAGCTCCTTGGGAAGAAGAGGCACTTTTTTTCCAACGCAGGCGCCACAGCAGGTGGCCTCCACAGCTCTGCGCGCGGCATTGGCGGCCGGCGCGCCGGGAACCCCGGGGCCTGGCCTTGTCCAGCCGCCCCCGAAGCTCCAAACCGCTTGTTTGGTGTCGCGGTTTGATCAACCAGCTCATAGCACAGCTGCCATGTTTTCCCCGGTGGTCTTAAGTGTTGAGGCAGGGCGGCGGGATGGCGGA